CATTATCTATTATTGATATAGCCATTTCTACTTCTTTTTGATTAAAATTTGCATGATATATTTTTCCATCCTTTCACTTTTAACCTGCCTATATTATGATTTTTAAAGTGAATTTCTTGCAAACATCATATAGTTGGGTCATTTAAAAAAATCTACCCTGCTAATCTTCATTTACTTAGTATATTTAGATAATTTATAGATAATATAATTATTAATATGTTAAGGCTTAAGTCTTCCATTTTATTCTTTTTGTTTCTGTTTGTTTTCTCTTGTTTTTTTTGTTTCCTCATTTGCTTTCTTTTTCTCTTTTACTTATTCCTAAACGTCAGAGTTCTCCGTCAGACTTGAAAATTACCTTGAAACAAGTCCTTGGCAACCTCCAGGTTACTCTTAGTGACCTTAATATCCGTCTGTGTTTCCTTGTTTTCTTTTTCCTGCCTTCCTGTGGATTACTTGAACATTTTTAAGGACTCATTTTGAAATATCTATGATATTTTGAGTCTGTATCTTTGCATAGGTTTCTTTTTTTGAAGTGGTGACTCTAGGTGTTACATTATATATACAAAACTTATCACAATCTACTGGTGTCAACATTTGTCAGTTTGAGTGATGTGTAAGGGAGAGATACTTCCCTTTGATACTCTCCCTCATATAATATAATTGTCTTAAGATTTTCCTCCACATACAGTGAGAATCACATCAGACAGTGTGATAACTTTCACTTCACCATCAAGCATAATTTAGAAACCTCAAAGAAGAAATGTCTATTTGCCTGTATTTTTACTCTTTCTGTTGTTCTTTTTTCTCCCTAATGCTCTAAGATTCTTAATCTTATTGTTTCCTTTCTGTATTCCCTATTGTCTTATCTCCAAATCATTTTTTTTGGATGTATCTGTTGACTATAAATTTTCTCATGTTTCTTTCATCTAATAATATCATGATTTCTTCTTCATTTCCGAAGGACATTTTTGCTGGATGTAGGTTCCTAGTCTGATGGCTCTTTCCTTCCAGCATTTGAAAAAATTGTGCCACTTTCTTCTGGCATCCATGGTTTCTGATGAGAAATCACTTTCACTCAGTTTTTCCCCTATAGGTAAGGTTTTGCTTTTCTCTGCTTTATATATATATACTTACATATATATATATATATATATATTTTTTTTTGGTCTTTAGTTTACAGAAATTTAACTATAATGTATCTTGGTGTGTATCTCTTTGAGTTTATCCTGTTTGGGGCTGCAGCTTCTTAAATTCATAGGTTTGTGTCTTTTGCCAAATTTAGGACATTTTCAGCCATTATTTCTTTGAATTTATTTTCAGTCCACCCTGTTTTTCCTCTCCTTCTAGCACTCTGATGACATGAAAGACCTTTTATTAAAGTTCTAGAATTCCATGAACTTCTGTTTGTTTTTCTTAGTCTAGTTGCTCTTTTTTTCAGATCTGGTTATGTCTATTCTGCAAATTCGCTGGCTCTTTTCCCTTGTCCTCCTCATTCCACTATTGAGTCAATCCATTGAATTTAAAAATTTCAGTTTTCGTATTTTTCAGTTTTAAAATTTCCATTTTTGTACTTCTTTATATAAGTTTTTTTTAATTTGCAAAGTTTGTTTCAAATGTGCTTGTAATTGTTTGTTGAAGTATTTTTATGATGGCTGCTGTAAAATCCTTGTCAGATAATCCTAACATCTGTTGTCTCAGTGTTGACATCTGTTGATTGTCTTTCTCATTGCAGTTGAGATTTTCCTGGTTCTTGCTATGATGAGTAATTTTTTTTGATTGAAAACTGGACATTTGGCGTATACTGTTATGAGACTCTGGATCTTATTTCAATCTTCTCTTCTATCTGGCCTCATCTGACACGCCTTTGCTGGGGAAGGAGAATACTGCGCTGTTACGGCAGGTGGGGATGGAAGTGCAGGCTCCCTGTTCAACCTCCAGTGGTGTCACAGTGAAGGGAGGACTAGCGTTACCCTGGTGTGGAGGTAGGAGTTCAGGGCCCCCTAACCCTGGTCTCTACTCATGCCACCCTGGCTGGAAGAGGTGGAACTACCTTGTTTCTGCTCTGCACATGGCCTCTCCTAACATGATGGAGGTGGTGGTGGTGATGGTCATGGTGGAGAGGCCTCATTAACTCATTAACTTGGTGGCGGTGAAAGTTTTGACTCTTCTCTCGGCCTCTCTGACACCACCTCGGCAGGAAGAGGGAGGAGAACCTTGATACTACGGGGTGGGGGTGGAAGTCCAGGCTGCCCACGTGATCTCCACAGACACAGCATAGAGAAGCCTCAGTACCATGTAATGGGGGTGAAGGTCCCAGTTCTCCACTTGACCTTTTCTGACACCACCCAGAGAGGGGTGGGAGAGGGTTGAGAACCTCATTATCACCTGATGAAGATGGAAGTCTAGGCTCTCTACTCAGCCTCTGCTAAAAGTTTGGACTAAAGATTTTCTTAGATGTTTGGTTGGCGTATTCCAGTTATTCTCCAGAAGTTTTCTGTCTTGTTAAGCTGCCCCTTTCTTGGTCGTTTGTCTAGAGAGAGCAGACTTTTCTCAAGGCTTCTTTTGTCTGCATCCACTGACATTTCCAGGTTGCCAGCTTCACCAGCACCCAGTGGGTTATATGAAGCTAAAAGAAAATTCAGGGAGCTCACCTGAGTCATTCTTTGGGTCTTGCAGTCCCTAGCCAGCTTGTCATCTTCTCTTCACCTTTTAGAGTCTTATGTATGTTTTGGATATAATTTCCAGGGTTTCAGCTATACCTAAGGAACAGGGAAAGGTATGTCTACGCTACCTTTCTGGAAGCAGAAGTCCCATGTCACTTACTAAGACAATGACCTAAGGTAGAAAGAAAGAAAGAAGGAAAGAAA